AAACGGCACTTCTGAATGTAGGCTGATATGGCGCCGCGGGGTATACACTTTGCATAGAGTAAGAGGTCTGTTGCTATCTTGGTGATACATTCTGTCTTTCTGCCGTGGGTTTGGCTAATGCTGTTGAAGGCTTTGAATATTTCCTCGCTATTTCGGGATGATTGAAATTGCTCCTTCAGGGCTTCAAGTACCCTGGTTGCTCTTGCTCCTTCCCCATATGCGTCCATGCACTGTTGATAAGCGTCGAGGGCTCTGCCTTCACAGAAGGCTCCTATGTACATTCCTGTATTGTGTTCCTCGATATTGATGCTGTGCAGCCTCAGGTGTTGATGTACCGCTGTTTCCCATCGCTGAAATGCCTCGGGTTTCAAATCATCACCCTTTCCTGAGAAGTTCGCAGGTAGAGGGAGCTTGATCTTAGGGGGATTGACGGGTATGCTACCGACTCCAGATCCTCCTCCTGGAGGGTCTGGTGGTCCCGGGGGACCTCCGGGTGGGTCTCTTGCTGAGCTTGCCATACTGTCTTCACTATCGCTACTGCTACCGTTGTCTTCGGGGCCAGGTGCTGCACCTGTACCTTCTGTGGGTAGTCTCGATGAACTTTCGCTAGTTCCAGGTAGTTTTCCCTTTCCGGGAGTAACTGGGAAGCCTTCAGGAGTGGATAGGCTTTGTTGGCTAAACTCTTCTTTAGTTTCCTTGAAATCCTGAGCTGCCTGATCTCGAGCTAGCTGTCTTCCTGGATCGTCGATCGCAAATCCGTCCTTTGGTCCTTTCGCTTGACCTGGTCTCTTGGGCTTCGATAGCCCTTCTCTGGAGACCTGTTTCCTACTGCGTATTGTGAGAGGATCTATTGTGTAGGTGGGGTAGGTGGGCCACTACTGGGCTCCTCCGCCTTCGTGCTAGCTTTGCCGAGTTGTGCCTGTCGATCCGTGATCTTGCACACAAGTTTCTAACCACTTGCTGAGGTTAAAAAAATGTAACGTGTTCACACCGGGGTGCTAATCATGCTTCCGGGTACAATAGGAGTAGCGCCCAAGTTGATCTACAACCTATGGGCGTACTGCGCTAAGGGAGGCTTCGAGAGAAAGATATAAAGAATAGGGACTTGAAGAGGTAACCATTCAACCAAGTATATTAGAAATACTCTGTCTGTCGAAGTCTGCTGTTCCTCTAAGGGATTCAGTGGTCTTTAAATACAAGCTTCGTCCATGTCCTGCATGGACGGATTTCCAAACCATCCATAAGCAAACCACAAAACAAACTGAGTATCAAAGGATACTCGAAACCACAAGTAAAACAAACTAAGTATCAAAGGATACTCGAAACCACAAGTAAAACAAACTAAGTATCAAAGGATACTCGAAACCACAAGTAAAACAAACTAAGTATCAAAGGATGCTCGAAACCACAAGTAAAACAAAAAATAAAACAAATCCTGGAACCGAATGGACTGCACTCCAGTTCCGGTTACAACCTCCGTGACGATGGGGCCCGAAGGCCAAGGCAGTAGGGTGCCAGCCGATCCTGGCAGTAGGGTGCTACTGGCAGCTGATCCCGGAGGAGAGGAGAGGAAGAGGGCAAGGCAGCAAAGATCCAGCCAAACAATACGGTAGGAGGCTGCAACTAGGATCACAGAAGTAGGCGAGGCTACTCCCGATAGTTCAAAGGACCACCATCCCAACTTACCGTCCAGCCATCACCAAGCTGCCAAAGCCGACCGTACTGATGCTAAGCGAGGTGAAGCAAAAGCAGGGTAGAGAGGACAGAGACCTCATGATGAGGCCCCCAGGGTGAGGAGAGGACCCCCATCCGGCAGAGGCAAGATGCCAGACAAGGGAAGGAGTAGAAGAGAGGTCCCGATGGGCAAAGGGATGGAAAGAAAGAACCTCCACCTCCCGGCGGGGGGGTGCATGGCTATAGAAAAGTGGTGATGATTCCTCAGTATTGAGTCATTCCCGATTAGGAAATATTTTTCAATGACCGGAGGTGTAGCTGAGACGGAGGATGGACTTAAAGCTAGGAAGGTACCTTGATATTTATATTCTGCATCTGGGTTGTTGTGGCCTATATCCAATCCCTTTGTGACTATGTACCAGCCAAGCTAAGAATTCAGTGTCCTTGGAGTGCGAACTCTGTTTGACCCTGAAAACTAACTTTCCTGCTCCCCTCCTGAGTGGAGTGATCAGCTCCGTCAAAGGACTTATCAATGACTCTTCTATATGCATAGCTTAGTGTATATGATAAAGATAACTAACTCAACTAGTGAGTTGTTATTAACCAATCGTGAACTGGTCTTCCAGATGACTCTAGTTCACGTGAGCTAAAGGGGCATGTGTATTACTTGTTGTAATAGCGTATAGACTTGCAGAGGTTGTAGCTCCATAACTAACCAACCAATCCAAACCAACCAAGTCTTATCTTATAGAGCGGAGCTCCTTCTATGTTATCCAGTGAAAACCCCTTGGTCACATGCCTTGTATCTCCGCGGAGCAGGCTGCATAGTTGTCACAAACTGTGACTAAGCAAGGCAGATTTCACAAAGCTGGGATTTCCGAGTTATAGGTATGTTGGGATTTCACATGACGCACACTAGTGCGCCATAGGTTATTATGTTTACCTGTTCGTGACTCACAGTTGTGAGTCACATGATGTTATGATTTTTGCACATGACCCATACTTATGAGTCATGGGTTTCACTCAGGTGACACGAGTTGTGCACCTGACTTGGTTATTATGTTTTGATTGGTTTAGGTATGTTGCGCACCGACTCATAGGAGTTGTCTGATGGATTTCATATGACTCATGGTTATGAGTCACAGGGTTCGCGTGACGCGAGGTGTGAGTCACGCCAGGTGAAGAGCGACTATATAAAGGGTCACTAGGACCCCGAGTATGAGCTCTTCACATGTTCTTCTTGTTTATTTCCTACCTTTAAGTTATTATCAATAAAACCTACCTTTACGCTCTTTAAGATTTATCTTAAGAAACCCGAGAAGTGTCTTTCCTCTCACGAGAAGAGATTAAAGTCCTAGGCGAGGACTAAGGAGAAGAATAAGGAGATAGGCGCGAGTACGATAGTAGTCAAAGGACTAGACTATGGGGTTCGCGTAGGCATAGGCCTAAGAGCTATCACCTTACAAAGAAGTATCGTTCCCTGTCGCTAGGTCCTACCCGGTAGGATTCTTAACAGTAGTTACCTTATTTTTCCATGCGATAATATGATATCATCATAATAACTATGGCAGGGCCTGGAGTCAAACACATGACCTTATGCATTTAGTTATGTGCCGCACTGATTACGCTTCTATGTGTAACAAGGGGGGGTAGAGAGGAAGGGAGAATGGTAGGGGGATAGGAGAATGGGAGAATGGGAGAATAGAAAAGAAAAGGAAGTAAGGGAAAAAAAGGGGGGAGTAGTGGGGGCAGAGAAAGGTATGAGTATGCTGTGCAGCATCTTGTTATTTCCAACATAATCATTTAAACTAACAATCTTTAAAAATATAACTCCACCTATATCCTGCAGTGCTGGAAGTTCATAATAACAAAGTATCAAATAATACTTCAAATACTAGTATAGCATAAAATGAATAAAGTATCAAATAATACTTCAAGCAAAATGTTAAACAAATAAAGTATCAAACAATACTTCAAACAAAACAAAAAATAATTAAAGTATTAAGCAATACTTCAAACAAAATATAAGACAAGTAAAGCATAACCCGGTACCCATACCAGTTATAGTATATTTACTTGTAGATCTAGCATCCGTAATGCTATAGTAAAATTTCTAGCCAAACTTTATCTTTGCAGGAGCACAGAAAAAGAAGGGAGATAAATTAATCATCTCTCATATAATATTATGAAGTAGATTGTAATTATACAACCATATTGTATGGTTTTCTTCCCAGCATTGATTCCTAAAGCTATTCATTTATAGAATATTTTTCAAATTATATTTATATCACAAAATAAATATTTGACTTTTTTTTTTTTTCAATGGAGACAAACACCCCTGAATGAAAAGTTTTATGATAGTTGCCGGAATTTATGCCGAAAAAGTGGCCGACCAAACAGGGACTCAACCTCCATCCATATTGAGCTCGATAATGTTGGAGTGGCATGGGTACGAAAAAAACTACAAGTCTAGATGGAACAGGTCTTCGAACCCGGCTTCCATCTATTTCCAACTAGGATCCAAGAAAATCCGAGAGAAAGTGCAAACGGAATGAAAAGACGAGCGGATATCATATAAAAAACTCCACAATTATTGTTTTTTTCTTTCTTTCTGTTTTTTTTGGGGGGGGGCGATTGCTAGCCCGCGAGCACCCAAGATAGGATTAATTTTCACAAGCTTTCCGGACCGGCCAAGACTGAAACCCGCCGCGTTCTTAGGCCGTGCTTAGGGGATGGCAGTTGGCATTTCGGGACTCCTGGCCGTGTTCCAGAGCCTGTAGCCGCTGTCATAAAGGGTCTATGCCCCGATCAAGGGCCTTCATAGTATGGGGTCACCTTCGAGGATCATTGGCCGACAGCTGCTTATGTCCTCACGAACTTGGGTGATATCGGCATGGTGTTTGTTTTCAACCTCACTGAATTAGCCCTTGATATCGCCGAGTTCGTTTTCAACGGCGAGCTGAGCCTTGATACCAGCTTTATCGGTGTTGGCGTTTGAGATAGTTTCCTGTCGTCACCCCTTCCGGCTCCCCGAAACTGGAAAGCTAGTGGCAGCCAGCGTAAATCCACCGGTGACGAACTGGATGGCGTATTAGTGAATTATGCCCCTGGGAGCGAAGTATTCTGCTTAGGGATAGACGGCCGTTTAGCGGATGGAGGCGGCACCGACTGTCAAGGATGGCTTGACGGTTCTACCCATGGAGGGTGTCAGGAGGAGTTTACCTGATTTAGAGCGCCGTCTCCGGCATCACCCTATCCTACGAACAGCTAAGAGACTTTCCAGTCTAGATCGACACCCAGCATACTGGCCTATTCTAGTAACATTGCACCATGGTAGACTATTGTATTTCGTGTGAATTATTGCTAAAGGAAGGATATTTGAGCAAAAGGTATGAGCTAGGGGATTGAGAAATTTGGGTAGAGCAAATGAAAAAAAAAAAAGACTAAACAAAGGAATAAAACCCCCGAACTAACCCCATCCCCAACCAGCAAATCAGTTCCTCTTAAGCTTCAGAGTAACCCACGCCAGCCCTCTCATCCCCACAATCACAGCAATCAACACTCCAATCCAAAGCCCGATATCCTTTTTCCCATACCCAAGCGCCGTCAACACCCCCCGTCCCTCAATCTTGCACTGATCACTCAACTCACTCGGATACATGCATTGACACTCATCTCCAACCCTCGTGCAATCATACACCCTCCCGTCAAATTCGTTAAACATCATCCCCTGGAAAACGTATCTTTGGTAATCAATCCAGTGGAAAGTATAGTACCAAAAGTTATTCAGCACCCTGGGCGAGACGAGGAAGCCACTAACGCACATCCAGAGGCCGTTCGCGAAGGCGGTTATCGCGAGTGCGGCGACGAAGACGGGGATGAGACTGGAGATTAGCACAACGAGGGACTCGGCCGCGAGAAGGTCGAGGAATAGCCACATGACGTAGCGGAAGAAGTGTTCGGGCGATTGGCGGAAGCCGCAGAGAAAGACTGTGACAAGGGAGAAGAGCAAGGCTATCAAGACTGTTTAATGGTCAGCATAACAGAAATCTTAGGGGTGGAGGGGGGGGGAGTGAAAATAGGGGGGAAGGTTACAAATGAAGGGAATCCCTATCAGAAAATTCGACAACAGAAACGCCGTAGGACCGTACAATCCATTCGCGCGGTCCTTGCGGAAGCTCTCGTGGTCCTCTAGGTACGCCGGGATGTAGGCTACGGCCATGAACGACATGAACGCACCGGAGAAGAATATAGCATTAATGAAAGGTTGGATGTTATCCTGTTCTCGCCCGAGACGGAGCCAGACTGTGCCCATCATGAAGGCTAGACCTGTTCCACACTATCAGTAAAACCCAGAAGCAAAGGCACTCAGTTCGGGAGTGCCTTCGAGTGAGCGTCTATGGACATACCAAGATACATAATAACCCTAATCCAATAGGCCAGTAAATCCCTATAACTCTTCAACCAAAGCCTCTGCAACAACACAAATGTCTGTCGGAGCACGCCCGTGGGAGCTCCAGAAGTACTCATCGCCCCCTCTGAATCCGCGAAGGGAGCCGAAGAGATTTCTGTAGCTGGGCCCTTGGGAGACCAAGCCTCCATTAGTCGATCAAGTCTTGCTATCCGATTCTCCTCCACGCCAACCTCCACCGCGCTGCTGTCGAAATCTGTGTTGCACACGTCCAGCAGGAATTCCGCCGGGTTGGTCAACGGTGGGATCGGCACGCCTTGGGTGGAGAAATATGAGACCACTTGGTCGGTCGGGCCCGAGTAGACTAGCCTGCCGGAGGAGAGAAGAACCAGTTGCGAGAAGAGGTTGAATGTCGTCGCTGTGGGTTGGTGGATGGAGGCGATGACGATCATCTTGATTGTTGTTAGATTCTTCTTAGTACCTGAGGGCGTGAAGAGGGAAATTCACGTTCTCATCTCGTGCAACCTGCTGAATCCTGTACATGACCTCGTATGCCGCCTTCGAGTCCAACCCACTAGTCTACACACCCCCTATTAGCGTCACCGTCCTGTCTAAAGAAACAGTAGAATTGGTGATAAGACATACCGGCTCATCCAAGAACAAAATCTTCGGTCGAGTGATCAACTGCGAAGCAATACTAACCCTCCTCTTCTGACCTCCGGAGATACCCTTGGCGACCGGGGTGCCAATCTTTGCATGCGCCTGCTTCGCCAATCCGAATGCTCTGATCAACTCCGATACCCGGCCACCGTGACGCTCGGCTCCCGAGAGGCGGGCTGCGAATTCGATAGTCTCTTGGACCGTTAAGCTACCTATGTGGGTATCCTGTTAGAAATGCAGATGGGAAGAGAGGGGGGGGGAGTACCAATCAGTGCATCCTCTTGCTCAACATAAGTGCTAATCTCCCGAAGAGTCTTCGCTTGGAGCGGAGCATTGTCCAGGTGGACTTGACCCTTCACGGAAGCACTTGCGGCAGCGGGTCTCTTTGCGAGAACGTTTAGGAGGGTAGTTTTCCCGGATCCGCTAGGGCCCATTAGGGCCACCATGTCGCCTATTTGCGTAACCAGACGTTAACAAACCTATATATGGGTGATCCGGTGGGTGTAAGGGCTCCACGGTAGAACAATGGAAGGAGGAATACCTGGCTGAGCAGACCCCTCAACATCCTTCAAAATATTCAACGCTTCCTTAGTCTTGGAATCTTTAACCGTGACCGTGAGTCCCTTCCATGAGAAGTGGGAAATTTCCTTTCCGCCACCCTTGGGAAGGGATTCCAAGTCGATGTTGTCGGTCATTTCTGTCGTGTTCTTTTTTTCCGGAAGAGTAGAGTGGATTGTTTGGTTCGAAGGAAAAAAAAAAGGAGAGCCGTCAAGCGTGAGTGAAGTGGCGAAGGTAGGAATCACAAACAACTCCCTTTGATGGATGAGTGAGCAAACTAATCCGGAAAACTGTGGGTATGCCTTGGCTTTACCGGGAGCGGTCCCACCTTTTATCTTTCCCCTCCCTCCTCACCAGCCACCATTACGACCACCATCGCATCCATATCGCCGCTTACCTCCCAGAGCTAAAAGGCAAAGGCCGCTCGGGGACTCCTACAGTAGTTAAATCCCGCTCGGCGAGCAGGGTGCACGAGCCACACACACACACACTAGGCCAGGTGCGTACCATATCCCAAGTCAGCATCACGTTTGTCGCGGCTTAGCACATTTCATTCTCGAGAGTCGCCGAGTGAGCGGGGTCTGTCGAAGCTTTGGCCATTTAAGATAAGCTACCGCACCACCCACACAACCACCCACACACAGGGGCAGTCCCTCCTGAGACAACCACCCTGTAAGCAGCAAGATGATCCGTTGGTTCACTGCAACGGCGACCACGTTATGGCGTATTTTCTTTCTTTTCTTCTTTCTTTAATCGAACGCCGATGGATGGGAAAGTAAGCTGGAGCCAGCGAATATAAAGTTACTAACCATTTACGGTTAGCGTGGTAAGGCTGAAAGCCACCGTCATGGTCGACGGCTCACGAGAGATGGGTGCTGCCTGACCCCTGCTTGAGGCCACTCGGGGAGGATGCCTGTGCCGAAATACAAGAGAAAACGAGGGCATGCGAGTATTTCAGCTTGCTGCTCCCCGCCCTTTCTCCTTTTCTCTCTTCCAGATATCTCTGCTCATGCCCTCTCACTGCCCGCATCGATGCATACAAGACTCATTCTCCAGTAATCATCCAATATACATGCGGCCTGGACGAGCGCAGCAGAGGACATGCTCGTCTTGGCAATACCGGTACTCGGGTATTCGTAGCGGGTTAATTTGCGGCGGGTTCCGATGCGTCCGTCCATTCACCTGGGATCTCGTTCGACGCTAACCGGGAAAGCACAGCCACCACTACGCCCCTCTCGCTATTACGCTCTCGGGTAAAGAGATCGCGTGGGCGGGGGGGATTTTTGATTAGTTACTTGCCCGCGCTTGGGCGTATACTGTAGAAAACCGGTGTCTACCCGGTGGATGCCTGGTGGACAGGAATAAGGGATAAATTACGATTGGTAGATCAATGTGCTTTTATCAAGCCTCCTGTCAGGTCACTCTTTCGTCCGACGGGGTGATTACCCCTGGCTTGGCGTTTTCCTTCGATAACTGGCTTGCCAGATAGCGAGGGTCGCTGTTCTACGAGTAACTTAGCGGGGAGTTGAAAACGCAACCCCTCGGACTTACCGCATTGGGGCATATTCAAGCACTTGTGCCTGCGGCGTGATTACTACTCGAGTACGGCGACTACTGTACCGGTACCGGAGGTGTAGTATTTCTTTCTTTTTACACGTTGTAGGCTACGATATGATAGGTCCTTTGGCTCTTGTGTGAGACACATTGATCACCGGTACTTGTACCATCGATTGGGCGTTTGCCTCCCCGAATCTCCAAGTCCGGGCCAAGACTTTCTTTGCGCTCGCTACGGTAGATGGGCCATTGCTCTGTGCTAACATACAGTACCACTTTGGCGAGTACTCGTGTCACCACGTGGCTGGTTTGGACGCAATCGGTAGAGGTTGTTCCTGAAATGAACCCGACTGAAATGAGGTGAATCGGATCCCCCACCACCCAGCCATCACAGCCGCTGTGGTCCTGACGCTCGGAAGGTCTCATTGGACAATCCCCCCGCCCTCCGGAAGGCGCTTTTGCGTTCTTGGCAGGAGAGCTGGATGAACGCCGAATGATGTGGTGTGTGTTACCGTGTGAAGGGTTCTTCCTCTCTAGCTGAGGGTTACCCCCAGAAAACCTCGAGACTATGGATGAGAAAGGGTGGAGCCCTTAGAGGTGTCGTGCCAGAAGCAACTTTTCCCAAAGCTATCGCAGTAGTGCTCGGTACCGTATAGTAAGAACCATAGTTTCGCGACCTACCGTCCCGGTGGAAGCTACAGGTAGTGCTTAGCGAGGAGAATCATTGATTGTTACGGCGGATAACTACGGGGTCGCACACAGACCAAGGAGGACCCCACACCCGGAGACGGAGGAATACAAGTTGCGACAGTTACAATGGTGTGGCGGGTTTACACAAGATAACCGGTCATTGGTATGAGTAATTTGATCTAGCCATCTAGGGGAGTGATGCATCTGCTTGGTGGTTCACTTGGGGGCGCTCTACTCGAGTACGGTAACCACGGGTATGATATCATACCACCAAGTGTATCCACGATAGCGCAGTAGCCTGATTGGTGGTCGCCCTTGCACCACCTTTAAAAGTAATACAATCCTTTGTTTTACCCCGGGCTAGCTACTAATCGGCCGAATAAGGTTGTAGACATTTACTAAAACCCGAGAGGTGAAACATTCGCTGAATGGTTGGCTGGTGGATGAATGGTGGGGGGGTGACTTAAAGATACCATACCGACGTACCGGTATCTGGAGCCATAGCAGGATAAATGCCCGAGAATATTGTACATCCACACACAAACAGTACTGGTATTCAAAAAGCCACTCTTTTTTTCTTGGGGTCCACAGGAAATCCGATACCACTCCGCTAGCAATGTAGGAAAGTGAGCAAACCCCAATACAGGCTCACCACCCACACCACATACCGTACCAAAGCTTTTTTCGATCGGGGCTTTTGTCTTTATGATTTATACCACACCGCCGGAGCTAAATCCATGATACGGGAGTAAAAAGATTGAATTGTACTAGTACATCTGCAACTTCACAGCTCATGGTCAGTCCCCTAGGTTCGGATCGTCTTTGCCGCAGAGAACAAGTTCACCCGGGTAGATACAACCATTCTTGCAGGGACGCGGATATTTATATTCCGGGTCCATTAAACAGCGGCGCTGGGTTGCCCCGGGCTTTCCTCTACTAGATTTCCCCTTGCTCCGGACCACTTTTCAAGTTCCGTCAAGCCCACTGGAAATAACCAAGGTCCCCAATTTTGAGTGTTTTCGGATCGGGTAGGAATTTAAAAACCTCTGACTTCTGCTTACATAGAAAATATATTCTGAGTCCAAGATCTCCGTCTTATTCTAGCCCAAAAGGGAACAGATGTCCAAAAGCGTCCACCTAGCAGGGACATGGACCAAGCGCCCCCCCCCCCCTCTTCGCTTTTCCTCCTCCGAATCATCCCCCCCGGCAGGGTCTCAATATATTATACCCAGGCTCCACACCCTTGTCGATACTACCAGTGGGTCTTTCGGACCCAAAGTGGGATGCCAAGATTTTCTGGTCCCATCGGACTGCTTTGCGAGCGGTATGATGAGAAGGGCTCCGCAATAGGAAAAGGAAATCGTAGATTGAGCACTGCCACAATGCCTGCTGAAACTTTCAGCTCGTTCGTCCTCTCTTTCTCCGCTGATCTAGCCTTTGCCAGCGCCTTATGGAATATTCGCTTGTTATCGCTGCTCAGTTGTCACTTGACTTTGGATTTCTTGCTCAAACACATTTCCTACTGTTTCACTCTCCCGGAGGTTCGGCAGTCGTGGGTAGTATGCTCAATGTCCCAATTACCCAGGGCGGCGGGGTGCGACTCTGAATTATATCCTGACGTGGGGAGGTAAGGGAGGGGATTGAACTTGTATCGCTTTGCATTATCCTTCTCGAGTTCCTCCAATAATAAAATACCGGGTTGGGATCCCAGCGCCCCCGCGCCTGCACAAGCTAACCGGCTGATTTATCGGTAGCAAGATGCACGAGCCACCGACGGACCTTATCAACTCACCTTGTGGCTGGGGAATGGGGGTATCGGTGGATGGGGAGGGAGACAACCACCACAGCACGACTTGTGATAATCCGTTCGCTCTCTAAAAGAAACAAAAGCGGCTTCACAGGTCCTTATTCTGGAGCAGTCATCATACATATACCTAATGTATCCTGGAAGAGACGCTCCGATTGGTATGGCCGCTTGAACTCGGTTTTGTGCATGATTGAGGTAACCGTCTCTATTTTGTTGGTACGCTGACCGAGAACTTTGAACCCTCCATGCGGGAGCCCGCATGGGATGTGTACGATATATACCAGCGGCATAAGAGAGACAAGAAGAAATGAATATTGTCAAAGGCGAGGATCCCCTTCTTTCTTTTTTGCTCTTTCTCCCTTTGCCACTGCTGATGATGATACACAAGATAGCCGAGGGCATCTGAGTTTTTTCTATTGAGGTTGCGGGTGTGTCATACATAGATCTGCTGCGGTAATTTAGGCTTTTCGATTTAAGACTGATTATTATACAAAGGGATGTTAGCCGGCAAGGAGCCCTCCCTATGCTTAACGGGGTTGGAACCCATGGCTGCCGGAGGGAACTCTTGTGTTGACTTTGATCCGTAAGTTAGTAGCAACGATTTGAAAAATTGAAGGAGAAATGCAGCAATCACACGGAGAACTAGGCAAAGTCCAGTAGATAATTTTCGGTCCTAATCCCACATCCTAAGTGTATCGTGCGTGATATAGGTGACTTCCTACAGGTATTCGGGAAAAATATCTTAAAATTTCAGCTAGCTATATCCCTGTAATACGGTAACATATTGTCCTCGAAAAGGACCGTGCTCTTTCCCAATAACCCGGGATGGAAAAGCATAACGGTCAGCCAGTCCAGAAAAACGACCTGTTCTATGGATACAAAAAGTTCCATGGGTTTTCCTAGCATAAAAACCTAAAAACCGATAATAATAATAATCAAATCCGGGGGGGGGGGGGGGACACCGGCCTTGAAGCATAATTCTCTACAAATTCTGTTTTCAGAACTTTATAGAGTAAACTTGAGCTTCGCAACCCGTCAAGTAAAAAAAACAACCTGCCGAGTATCTCCCGTTCATCCCCTTTTCTTCGACTAGCGATCCCTTTCCGGACACCATATACTTCATCCCACAGTATAACGAATAATATAGAGACAGATTGTGTGAACTCTCTAGGAAGATAGATCAGCCCAGCAGCTTTTGAAATTCGCTACAACTGCCTTCCAGCAGCACCGCGGTATTCATATCCCGAGCCAAAATCTCCCGAGAGGGATTAGCCATCCCCCGAAACGATACAAAGTCGACCAACCTGATGAGTCGGATCTTGTTAACAGGTATTCACAATTCCTGTAGCCAGTCGGACTAACCATATCGTGGGTTAGGGGGCCCAATTCCTGCCGACAAGCCGACGGTGGATTTCAAGAATTTTGTACTACCAGTACTTGCTGTATAGAAGGGGTGCTGGTTATCCCTAGCTCTAACCCGGTGCAATTTCAGAGACCGAACGTCCAACAAACCTCTCCGGAAGATAGTGACAGTAGTATGGCAGCTAAGAGGAATCTGACAAGGTAACTCTAGGCCAGTCGGGGGTGATATTTTGGGACTTTTGGTAGTGTAAGGGTATTTATAGAGGCTCGGGGCCATTCGCACTCTTTTGTTTTCGTTTTTTTCAGGGGAGTAATGGATCATAGGGGAGGGTAGATATCATGATATTGTACAAGGATGCGCGAGTGGGGGGGGGGGTGGGATCTGGAGCCTTCTAATTTATGCCCCCTCCACAACTTTGGGACCGAATCGCTACGCCCCGCCACGGGAGAACCGAGGAAGGCAACTCGTCGGGGCTCGTATCAATGCCGAAAAATTGGTACTATATTAAGGCCCTGTTCGGCGTGCCAATTTTATGCCATAAAAGTGGTTTTTGTGGCATACAACAGTAGCGCTTAGGTGATAAAAACAGAATCTAACAAATTTTAGCCGATTAAAGCTGCAGTGCTGATAGTAAATCACGGTGCTATATAATGTGACTGTAAATATAAGGGCAGTACATAAGGGTTACATAGCAAAACTAGATCACTAGGGTATTTAGGTCTTAGCATTTATTATTTTATGGCAATGCCGAACACCTATATTTCGGTAATATGATCTTTTTTTTTTTTTCAAACATATATGTTTGTAGCTTTTATGATCATAAAAAATATGATAGACATGCCGAACAGGGCCTGAGTTTACTATCGTTAAAGGTGGTACGGGATTTATGCTAGCTCTAGGAGGGTTAGGGTTGGGTACCACAAGGACTGGTTGATTTGGGGTCAACGTCCCGGAATACATAACTCAGGGCGAGTGACGGCTGGGGTAACTTAAATATAGCTTTGCCCCTCCTCTAACTGTGGCTGTGGGAATAGAGGAAGGAAGTCAGTTTTGCTTCCCTTTCCACAGCTTCTAGACTTTAGATTCATGCAGCATGCGTGAGTGTCTCGCCTTCCTTGCTACAAGCATGGTGTCACTGTACTTGAATCCAGAGGTTAGTGATAGGGTAAGCGGGGTTCAAGGAGTTAACACTTCTAACCCTTCCTGGCATATTCCGGCAGAATTGTCTTTTTTACCGGTGGCGGTATTGGGCTCCCGGACTCAACCCCCTGTCTGTTCTATCACCAATCCCCATACCCAAGCGCTGTGCTGGTACAGTTCCACAACATATTCGATCGTTGGACATGCGCCCTTTTGCGCTGCTACAAGTGCGCATAACGCAAGGCTGGTGCCACGATGGTGGGCAGAAGGACAGGTAACAAACCAAGCATGATATCATACTTCACGCTTTCATTTCCGTATCGTGCTCCCTAGAGCTGCAAAACATTGAAAAACCGATTGTAGTCCAAAATCCATTCAAATGCCTTCCGAAGCGCCCATAGATTATTAAGGCCCTGTTTGGACAAGACCGTTCAGTCCAGTTTTGCCATACAAAATGACAGTTACGCAACGGAAGGGTAACAGAATTTGTATGTGAAAAAAGGGGCTGAACGGGCGTAACAGGCCCTAAAGAATTGTTGGCCATATCGTAGAGTTAGGGATTTAGAAAAGGGCAAAGCCAGGCGATTTCCCCTATAGCATGATACCAAATTGTCCGGAGACGCGCCAAGGCCAACGCGCCGAAAACATCCCTATGATGTATACAATTCCCGGCAGGTTTAGATACAGAGTTCCAAAGGGTCGGAAAGTAAAACCCGGGAAATTTATCCCCATATTGACAGAAATATGGCTCGCTGGATCGATTGGCGGTCGGAACGCCGTGAACTTGTCAGTCTTCGGTGGGAAACCCTCACCCTGTTCATCTTTCTTGGTGTCAGCTTCCCATTCCACAACGGGCGGCCAACGGTTACGGTAGTTATGTCCAAGGATCATGTCATAGCTACCAGACTCAAGTATTGTGCGGTTTATTGTTCCTCCGGTGGTGAAGGTACAACGCTTGTTCTATGCTTCTGCGGAGATCGCTTTTGCGTGCTTGCGGGGTGCAAATATTGGTTATAGTACTGTGACGAATAATAAGGCTCTCAGGTTGAGTCTTGTTCAGCACGTGGTGGCTATTTTATGCAAGAATTATGCACTTTTTGCATTCTCAGGAAGGGCTTGACCGAAAACTCAGCTGAGTAACGGGCGCGGATTGTTTCTTCATCGGATGAGTTGGTGACCCCACGGAGAACGTCTTGCCGAAAAAAGAAAAGAAACGAGAGAGTGTGTGAAGAAATGTTGCACTTCCGAGATCGTATCCTGGTGGAGAACAACCCAGTGAAGAAAAAAAGAAAAGATAAGAAAGCGAGAAGCGGAAGGAAGGAGGAAGGAGGAGGGAGAGGAAGAAAGGATGGGGAGAGATAGGCTACCACAATTGGAGACAGGGAGTTTCTCACCGCGAGCCTTTGCGACTTGATTGAATGCCACGTATGAGTCGCTTTATGAAGATTTTTTTCTTTTTCCCCATTTTTTTTATTCTTCACAACAAAGAAGCAGCCCAGGTGTCGGAGCAGGATATTCGGGTTTGCTGAAGTCTCTTTCCAAAGACCTAGCACATAGGGGATCGACTCCCCTATTAAATGTTAATAAATCTGCGGGTATATTCGGGCAGCTTGCCGAGCCGTTAATCCCCCTTGGACGGCTGTTCCTTGGGTACAGTACTCGACAGTGCCGGTACCGGTAGTTCACGTAACCACACAACTTAAAATAAGCGAGGGACTAGTATCACTCGAAACCTCGAACCGTGTTATGTATCAAGAGTCATATTCGCTAGAGGAACCTTAAAGAACGGCAGCTCCCGCACTAGGGTAGTGTACCCACCGAGCGGAAGGCGCGCCCTAGGAATTTCGCGGTTGGCAACAAGGCGGGAGTCACTCTGGTGGGATTATGTCGGTAAGTTAAATGGGAACTCGAGCCTTGAGTTGCCGAACTACAGGCGTCCCTAAGAGCCACTTTGCGGTGGCGCCGAAAGGTAACAAGAAATGCTATATTATACTCCTTATAATTGGGCTGTGTTAAGTCTGGTGACGGAATTGTTTGGGCAGGGCGGGTTCTCCCTGTACGACAAGAAGATTCAAAGCTATGGCTGGACGAAGAACTTAGGTTTTCTTACTTTTGTTTCTTTTTTCTCCTGTTTTTTTCACCGTTGGATCGGCTCTCGACTTACCGGTATAGGTGTCCCTTCCTGAACATAACCTGTAACATCTCGAGATAGAACCGGCACCGCAATGCAATCAACTCTTTTTAGAAAAAGAAAATGTATCATATACCTGTTTACGAACTACCGGTAGGGACTTTGAAGCTCTCCAATAAGAATGGCCATATATCTGGTCCTGTGCTACAGGAGCTGTATGAAGCTCTTGGATACTCGAATACGTGCAGGTTCCAGTCCCCACATGCTGCCGTTGGGATCTGGGTGGGTAACGACCAGGACAGGAACTCCGGATTTCCCACCTTCTGGATGGAGGTGAGAAAACACGGAGAAAGATTCCCTCTCGGTTATGACAAATGGAAAGAGGGCCCTGCAAGCCTTAAGTTACTCGGACAGGCAGCTCGAGCGTCTTCACTAGAGTTTCAATTATTACAGTTTTAAAAGTAGTGAAAGGGCTTGGAACAGGCAAATCCAATAGCCTCATGGTACTCGGGTATTTCCATAGTCCTATTCCTAGGCCAGCTAGTAGGAGGAATTAAAACAGATTAACTCGAACCGCAGGGGGAGCACAAGCACTGCACAATCAAGCAGGCCACCCTAGAGAGATAGAGCCTTTAGACAACAGTGAACCTCTTCACCACTAGAAGTCTAGAACAGGTGCGGGGGATCTTCGAACTTGTATGTTCCCTCAGCATAAATTGTTCTTTGGGAATGAGTAGATATGGTAAAAAAGAATGACTAAAACACATCAATGAAATTCATAACACAGGTTCTGTGGGTACCAACATGAGTGGAGACTGCTCAGGGGTTGGTAAAGAGGTCTAGGAGAACCCAAGCATAGTACTTCAATCAATTTGTCTTTCTGTCAGCGGGGGCTCCACATCAGCTTTGAAAGGTAAAACAGGGAATACTGACACCGATACTATCATCATTCTCCCCGTCTGCCCATATCCCCTCCCAGATTTCTAGCTTCTCTGCAATCATTGTCATGTCTGTGATTCCCATCCTTCCAGCACATAGCCTAAACGCGGAGGCCCTCGATATTTTTTGTTCCTCTAGTTTCTTCTTCCTAGATTTCGATTTTGCCGCTTTGGCTGTACCAAATCTGTTAGCTTGCTTTACGCCCTTCAAACAGCTTCTCAGCTGTAGGCTTGTCAAAGATAGGATGCACCTCGTGTTGCTATGAGTTTATCATGCTCGATCTTGTGAAGATTGACCCAAACGGTCTTCTCTTCACCTATGCGCCTTCCGAGTCCCGGTTGCCTGAGGTGTCTCATGAGGGATCTTTGGGGAACTTTCCCAGCTAGAACCGAAGAGCAGCTGGGGACGGGGCAACTGAATGACCTTGGAAGGATATCGGTAGCGATACGATCGGACGGTACTTGTAAGGGGCCGGAGAGGGAAGTAGGGATTTGCATGATAGCATCCTTATTATGATGATTTCCATCAGTATTATTGATAGAGAAGTTGCACAGCGCGTAACGCTCCAACATGCCCTCACTGGAATTCTTAGACATGATTTTGATGGTGGAGGCTGGGTTGGATGTGGTGAGAGGTGCTAGCCGGCGTCGTGGAGGATAGATGCCGAGGGAGAAAAGGGTTGACCCGTGGAGAGAAAGAGGGAGTTTGGGGGAAGTAATAGTGAATTTGGGATGGCCCTGAAAAGCACTAAGGGTGAAGGGCGAAGGGCAAAAAGGGGCAGATGAAGGAGCCCTCAGAATAGTTGGAGAGGGCAGAGGTATTTTGCTACCCGATTTCTCTTTCCGGGGGTTGTGGGCCAGGTGGAGTCATAGGTTCTCACTCACCTTAATGGTGACCACCTACAAGGAACCCGCTAGCAAAATACCGGTCTCCATTCTCCAGTGACGTAGAGACCTCGCAGGGCGCTCTCTTTTGTGTTTCTGGCCAAGGCAACAATATCTACTGATTCTATTCCTACCCTATTTTTTTTTCCACTTTATTCCGTCCTCTCCTCCGTTCTTCACAGATTTCTGGAGATGTTTCGTTGTCGGCGCGAGACAAAAGAAAAGAGATCTGACGATGCGGAATGTCAGATCGTGGGATCGAACTTGACAGAATAGCTGTGCAGTACAGCGCAGCAAAAGCAAGACCGGAAGACAGTACTTGGCACACCGTTCAGTACTCTTCCCCGAAAGGTGCAAGGCTAGCAGTAGCCAAGAACAGGCATTAGGGGGGCTCACTTGCAATGTGTGGCTAATTATCCGTGTGGATCTACATCTGTGCGCTCAAACAGAGTTTGGGGAAAAGGTACGAGTGAAAACTCGCCGGACTGAGCCACTTTCTCGTGGGGGCCGTTGCATCTCTTCGATCAGAGGCATAAGGTAGCACACGGAGAAGTAGTACGGTAGTGTATTCCACACTGGGTATCGCTCGGGTAAGCCGAGCCTGCTGGATCTCGTTGATTGGCATTCTTAATTTTGTTAACTTACTATGCTAAGCCTATTGCGGTTTAGTGTAGTGATTTTCTGCTACTCGCGGGCAAAAGGACAGGCAAGACCTTTTTTTGTTTTTATTCCCCACCACACTGCAGATATCGGTAACTGTAACCCAGCAAATATCGCATGAGACGAAGTTTCCTTTTTTATTCTTTCCATTTGTTTTTCCCCTCCACAACTCCCTAACTGCAATCCAGCAAGGATTAGGGAACGAGAATCGAACATGTGATTATATGTGCGAAAGGGGTGGGGGCTAGAGGGGCAGATCAAGCAGAAAAGTCTTGGGGATTTCCGTAATTTGTGTAAAAAGGTCCGGCGTCGTTGAGTGGAAAGAACCTATGGGTAATTCACCGGTATTCACGACCTCGTTTCAGACCATTGGCACCGCTCATGTGTGCAACAATTTTGTTGTGTATGATACCAAGGTAACAAATTGGCCGAAAAACTGATACCAGTACAGTACAGTTCTCGAAAGAAAAAGCGCTTTTCCGACCTCGAGCTAAGTTCTCCTGCATGAACAATTGGGAATGAGGGCGACAGGAGAAAAAAACGGGGGAAGTGAACGGCGTCAGTGGATATCTTCGTGTGCAAGCCTTGGGCTCCATGTTGCGCTGCAAAAACCTTACCTTTTCCATCACCGATTACCGGATATCTAACCCACAGTATGACGTTGGAGTTGCCCCTCCTAGGGAGGTCTGTTGGATTTTTATTTTGTTTTTCTCTGCGGAAGGTCAGAGCCAATTATGTTTCCCACATTTCATCAGGAGATGGGGATTCTAGACGTTTTAGAGCGATCTTCCATTATTGCTAACCTTGTGTGGTAAGTATAAACTCAATGCATTTATGATATGTCATGTCCCAATGCAACTTATGTCTACTCAAGTGTATTACTCAGCGGTGAGAAACTTGCATGTCAGGTGTTCTGAGGGGCACCACGCGGCCTCGCCTCAGCTCAACATGGGGTGAGCTGAAGAAAACCAGCGGTGTAGATGTAAAACTAACTTAGTAGACTTGGGATTAAAGCCTGGAAAAGGGAGCACTCTACAGTAGTTTTCTGATCTTTCCTGCTCTTTGCAATCGGATCTAAATTTAATATCCGGAATAATGTGCAGGGGTTAGGCATAAATAGTGGCATGGTGCATGACCAGATTTCGGTAGTAGGGAACACGCCAGGAACACAGCCCTAGGAGAGTCTTTATTTCCCCTTCCCTCGTCCGGCTCTAAACAAAGACAATTGGCCAGTCCGGTACCTAGCTCCCAATTCGATACATCTGTCGGAGAAATAATCCTCCATGTGCTTTTGATTAACAACGGAGTGCCTGTGTTTTTTAGACAAGCAGGCGCTTGCGCATGGAAATCGACCAAATTAACACCAACACCGCAGTTCTATACCGTCATTTTATGCTTGACGCTTGTTGGTGACCCTTGCGGACTATTTGGCATTTTGAATTAGCGGTTGAGTGTATTGGTAGGTGGGCCGAACTGGGATCCGACTGGCCAAAATTATGGGTGTATCGAACTTGTAGCTGTACGAAGAGCTACTCCCGGCTCAATTTTTCAAAAGCCCAAGTGCAATCTTGGCACAACGGTTTCACAATAGGAACACACTTTGCCGATATACTCACGCGATAGGCCACTCCGATTCCGCTCCACCGCGCGTCCGGCTAAGGGTTCAATTAGGTCGAGAAACAGAGTTCGGGTTTACAGCGCTGTCATTCTCTGCTCTGGCGTTATTGGAAATTGGCCTGCGGGTGTACTTCTGGTATTGCTGGTACTTTGAGGTGCTCAGTGGGGCCCGACTCTTTGCGGTGCACTCGCAAAGCACTGCTGGGAACTATTTGTTACCACCACCGGTGGCGATCGGGGAGAAATATTCATTCTGCTGTACCGCGGGAAATATGTGCAGGTACTGTACCGGTCATATTGAACCCGAGAACAGGGACCGGAGCGGTTTGTATGGAAAACCGTCTGTGCAAATCTGAGAGTCCATACGTGTACTTGGCGATTCCACAAGCATCCAGAAATGATGGATTTGACCTTAGCAGCCTGGGGGTAATGATATAGGTATTTTTGACAATTTTCCATACCTGACTTCTGTTTTGGCTTCCGCACTAGCGAGAATACAGTAGCTCGTATCGCCATCAAAAAGGCAACGGGGGGGGACAGAGAAACTACATATGGTATCATTGATATTAAACCAAAGGATTTATAGGGGGGGAAGCAAAGAGGTAACAGTAAATCAGCGAGCTGTCGTTCCGAATTATCGGTATCTTGTTCTAAACAGCATTGACTGCTTCCAGAGAAAAAAAGAAAAAAAATGCCCATAGCATTAAATATGGCGGCAGCTCTTCCGTTATCGTGAGAAGTTTTAACTACACTATTCCCTATAATAAGCCTAATACTTTAGCATTATTATCTGCATTAGGGCTACATGCCGGGCGCCGAGACATCGGAACCCGGAGTTGGATAGTGTTGTGGCTGGTTGGTAGAAATATAGGATTTTAGGAGGTGGTGTAATGGCGGTGAGGAGGGTGGATTTTATTGTGCAACCTTGTTCTCTTACAGCGGTCAGGGAGTGAGACAGAGATATATCACATGAGACAGGGCATCTTTGAGGGAAAGTTAAAGAGTTGTAATGCTGGCAAGCGGCGATGATGGTTCCCTTGCTATGCCGTGCTCGAGTACAAAAGGGGTGTGCTATGTCGCTGAATCTCGCACTCTGGGGTGGGGGCAAGGAAATCAAAGCAAATTGAGTGCCCGGCTGAAACAAGAGAAAAAAAGAGCGATGCGTGGCTCCATCCTGCCAGATGTAATTACAAAGTCCCTTCATATATCTCCTATCATATCATATATTCGAATACTTAAGGGAGACAGGCCGTGCGATGAGGCTATGGGGAAGATATTGCGGTTGCCCGTCTTTCCTTCAACCTCGCTGCCTAGGGGCGGTCGCCCGTAGATATGCTGGGTTCCCTACAGAAGCAGTAGCCCTGAACCATAGAAACGAGAAAAACGTCCTTGGTGGTTGAGGATTGCAAGTTTCTGCCATCGAGAAGGTGTTCTGGACTGCCTCAACTACAACTTCGGAGCGGGGATTTATATATACTGGTGGAATTCTGGGCTGGCGAACACTAGATTATTTAAAACCGGACGAGCACGTAAGGCTGAAAGGAAGCCGAGTGGGGCGGTTCCTGTGTGGGCACAGCCTGCAAGAGGTGGATATCTATAAGAGGGCAGAGAGGTGACACAATCCCACTGACAATGAACACGTTGGGGTCAGATGCGATAAAGTGAGTTCGGAAGTGTATAGTGCAAGCACTCTAAAATGAGCACAAGACTTTAGGCTATTTTTAATCCAATAGGGAGAAACGTCAACACCACCTATTCCCATGAAAAAACCACTATATTATAGAGGATGTCAAGGAGAATACGTAGCGGTTTTCTCACGTGAATTGACAATTCTCATGTTTCTCCATAATCATTTAAAATTGAGTAATTTTGGTGAGAAAGTGGAAAAAGCGTTACGCACAGCCACGTTTCTTTGCTGATCTGATCGCATGCTTCATTTGGGTTATCTCAGGGTTAAACTCATTCTGTTATCGAAGGTTGCTTTTACTTGTTAACTTTTCTATTATTATGTTCTCTAAAATATATACTTCCATTAAAAACTTATTTATAATAGCCCCTAAAATTTGAATACTGGTGGTGGGTTCTGGCATTCTGTGCAGTGGGTCAAAGCCACGTAACACCTTTACCGGTAATTCAGCCTCGTGCACATTTTGGAGTGCTTGAACCATATGTAAAATTTGAGCCAGCGGGAAATCCACCTCGGGTTAACGGCTAGCATATTTGACTCAATATTCCTATTCGCTTCCTCAAAAGTATGATAGTTCTTCGAGAGATCGTGATTTCATCGCCCACAGCCCGTAGGGGAAAAATGGTTTAGGGCAATTGGGGATGGGTTAGGGTTGGGGGAGAGTGCTTGTCACGCAACAATAGAACTGACAAATGCTTAGGGTGGATATAAAAGGATGGTGAAGGTAATA